TAATACATTTTAAAGGTAAAGGTTTTCCACTGACATGAAGTCCAGTTGTGTCCGACTCTGGGGTGTGGTGCTCATCTCCATTTCTAAGCTGAAGAGCAGGCGTTGTCCGTAGACACTTTCAAGGTCATGTGGCCAGCATGACTGGATGGAGCGCCATTACCTTCCCACTGGCGCGGTACCTATTGATCTACTCACATTTGCATGTTTTCAAACTGCTAGGTTGGCAGAAAATACATTTTGTGTACATGCCAATATGAAATCTAACCGCAGAGTTGCAAATATCATTCCATTTGCTGGACTGAAAAGAATCGAATGAAGCAGGCTCATTTTTTAGTTATTATTTTAGCAGCTGTTCGAGGAAAAAAGGGAAGGACAAGAGGAAGTGAGATATCCTTCAAGGACGTATTTGAGACATCTCCAAACTAATGAACCTAATAAGCCAAGTCATTCAAGAGAACCTCCCTGAATGCTGAAGTTGTTCAGGATGTTGGTCTTTTCCCCAAACCATTCTCAAGACTCAGAACTACATTTGAGATCACTTCCACCATCTAATTCAGGGAAAGTGCTAGGTAACAGGGTGTGCCAATGTTTCACATTATGAATTGAAAGTTCAACTGGATGGTTTAAAGTTCTGAATAATGTAGAAATGCTCAGCGATTTTATACCCAAATTATTCCCAATGGTTGTCTGTTAGAGAGTGTCTTTTTAAAGTATGCAAATTGATGTAAGTACAGTATATAGTCATGCTATATTCCGGGCCTGACTCCTTATACAGAGCACATTCTCTCATTAATCATAACCTATTCAGTGTATCCTGTGATGTGAGAATCAAAATGGAACATCCGCTGCTGCTCAAAAGCTGGTTTTAGTCACTGATTGCCTGGGGCCAAATAGTCAAAAATTTGTCTGAATGTATTCTGTCACTTTGACTTCACGGCTATTGAACATTATTTCTCAGTTTTCAGAAGATGACACCTAGCAACTACCTCGCCAAAGCTAGTATTTCTTCCCTAAAACTTAGAAAAGGCCCCTTTGCTTTTTTATCACTGTGGATAATACATTTTTGTTGCGCTAAGCGTATTTCAGTTAAGTCCAGTGCAGAAGACACAATGACATTTCACTCAGGCAAGAAGAAAAAGAACAGAAAAACTTTACTGTTATCAGCAGAGTTAAAACATAAACTTGCAATGTTAGAAACAGACATAGTCTTTGTAAGCAATAAAGAATAAGGCTTTTTCATCTTCACCCAAATGAGTGAGCAGTAGAAATGGTTTAGCAAAATGCCTGAGCAAAGGCTCCTCAGAGCAAAAGCTGAACTGTATTCTAAAAACCATACAGTTATACCCCATCAGGTGTGGTCCAAACTTACTAGTTGACCTATATTAGCAGCTGTACATAATAATTAACAGCGTAAGGTTTTCTTTTACTTGATCCTGTTACGACTTAACTGTAACAATTTTTACAACAAATAGTTGTAGACATCATGGGGGCTGTGAGTTTGGTTAAGCCTTGTGTACAAGGAAGTGAAGACGCTGTGATGACACTGTGCCCCTGTAAACAAGATGTGGCTTTAAAAGGCTATATATAGGGAAACCAAGTTATTGAAAAAAATGAATGTAAAGGGAATGTAAATCCTGGTTTAGTAGATATAAAAAGAATAATACTTTCAATGTATTTTGTTAACTTTATAAATTAAAGCAGTATCTGACATGAATATTAATATTAACTGCCTCAGGGTGCTTCCAGGCATCACCAAATTACGGGTTATAGTCAGGGCAAAAAATCCCGGGACCTGAGAAGATGTCCAGATATAGACCTGTTGATCCTGGGATTTCTGCCTCCATCATCCACATTTGATGCTTTGTTGTGGGATTTTGCAGCCCCCAAGATGGCCGCTGCAGGACTTCTGCCAGAAATTTTGGTTTGCTTTAAAAAAAACAAAAACGTAGGATGCAAAGATAGAGGTTCCATTCCTGGGTTATATAAACTGCAGGGGCATCTGTGCAGACAGGGTGTTGTTCTTGGGTTATACATGTCTGTTCCTTGTTGCTCTTATTGTGAAAAGATGTACAATGTTGACTAGGGGGGCACAACTTTGTCCTGGCGAGAGAAAATGTGCCCTCCACACGTTTCATGAAGTTTCTGGCACACAAAGTTTTCGTGTTCTACTCAACTGTCACCTTCTTTTTGGGAACTGACCCATCAGGAACAAACATCTAAAACCCGAGAATAAACCCAGATAAAAAATCCCATGATTTCTGAGTGCAGGGACATAACAGACATTGAAAGATGCAGATTTTTGGTTCAGAACCGGGATATTCCCGCACCTGAAAATCTTGCGTTTTTTGCTTTTATTTATTTATTTCGTATCAAATGCATTGCATAAATTAGTATAAAACCGATAAAGATAGAAGGAGCTCAGGCAGCTAAATATCTTTTGACCAAAAACAGGCAACAGCAATGGCATTATCTGTAGCCTTCAACCATTCTTCCTCTGTACATGAGTCAGGGCATAGTGGACAAGCATACAGATTGGGAGTTGTCTGTTCTGCTCCACAGTCACACAAGGTGTGGGATTCTTTTAGATAGTGCCATTTTGTCAGGTTGTCTTTTGATCTGCCTACTTTTAAAAAAGCGTTTTTTGCTGTTTGTAGCTCTTCCTCCTGCGTTTTGAGGGAATGGCGTTTGGCCACCCTCCATTTTGCTACAGGAGCTCCTAGGATAAAAGTACTGTCTGGACGGGCCCCTAGAGGTTCCTAGAAGGTGGTTTTCTCTCTAGAAATCTCTAGGTCTTCCAGTGTGACTCTGTAGTTAATTTCCAGAGTGTTTATTATATATTCACACTGGATGAGGTAGAGATTCCTAGAGAAAACATTTTTGTTAAATCTGTGAATAAATAATCAAAGCCACAAAAGTCAAACCTGCAAGTGTGGAAGGCCAACTCTCTGGTATTTATTTATTTATCGTGTCAGGAGCAAACCAAACAGTCGTATTGCATTTTTTAACAAACAATCAAACAAACAAAACACAAAGTTTGCAAGCTTGGTAGTTGATTAAATGTCCTTTGACCAGTAGCTGGCCACTTGGAGTGCCTCTGGTGTTACTATAAGAAGGTCCTCCATTGTGCATGTGGCAGGGCTCAGGTTGCATTGCAGCAGATGGTCTGTGGTTTGCTCTTCTCCACACTCGCATGTTGTGGATTCCACTTTGTGGCCCCATTTCTTGAGGTTGGCTCTGCATCTCGCCCAGTTTTCTGTGTGCCCAAGAGAGAGTCTCTCATTTGGTATCAGCCATTGGTTGAGGTTCTGGGTTTGAGCCTGCCACTTTTGGACTCTTGCTTGCTGAGGTGTTCCAGAGAGTGTCTTTGTAGATCTTAGAAAACTATTTTTTGATTTAAGTCGTTGACATGCTGGCTGAGGGATGAGCTGGAGATGTCACTGCCTTGGTCCTTTCACTGTTGGCTGCTACTTCCCTGTGGATGTCAGGTGGTGCAATACCGGCTAAACAGTGTAATTTCTCCAGTGGTGTAGGGCGCAGACACCATGTGATAATGCAGCATATCTCATTAAGAGCCACATCTACTGTTTTAGCGTGGTGAGATGTGTTCCACACTGGGCATGCATACTCAGCAGCAGAATAGCATAGCGCAAGGGCAGATGTCTTCACTGTGTCTGGTTGTGATCCCCAGGTTGTGCCAGTCAGCTTTCGTATTAATTCTCTGATTAATGAAAAAGAAACAAGTCCTTCCAGTCTTTTCCTTGGAGTAATGGAGGTGAGGGACAGACATAAGCCATAAGATAGGAATTTTCTTTAATATAAACACTGATCCCAGAAAAAGTTATGTCTTGGGATTTCAGTTGAATGTTAAGGCTGCAGAGAGATAGAATGCCAGACAAGTACAAGAGAGGACTAGATTCTGATACACGTCGTCTTAAGGATGAATGTCCCCAGATGACCTTGGGTGTGTCACTCACTATTTCTCAGTATAACTTACAGTTAGTGACACAACAGCCTTTCTTTCAGGGCTACCCCAACACAGCCGGTGCTGTGCAAGCATTGCCATCTGTGCTCACTTCATTCTCAGGAACTGTTACTCATGCCTTTTGTTTAAAAACCACAGCCTCAGAAAAGACATCTCATAGTTTCTTGCCTAGTTCTTTCATCATGCAATGAATGTGTGCTTCTCTCCTAATGAACCTGTGATGCAAACAAGATTCAAGGATTTTTTTCCCCTACAGCCCGCTTTTGAGAATAGTAGGTGTATTTATATTTTTGGTTTTCTAAAATGAGTAAATGTGGCATTTTTATAATAGTACAAAGGCTATCCATACCATCAGAGCGGAGGTTTAGCACAGCTGATAAATCACCTATATCTGTTAATTGGAAGGTTGCAAGTTCGAAGCCCCGGGTCGGCGTGAGCGGTCGACTGTCAGTCCTGCTCACTGTTGACTTAAGCGGTTCGAAAACAGCTTTAGCTGTAAATAGAGAAATTAGGTACCGCTAAAAGCGGGGGAGGTTTTTTACGACACCATAAGGAAAGAAGACCAGAAAATGCTGGGCGACCAAAAAGGAAGGATGAAATCCTGACGGCTCTTCGTCATAGAGAATAGAGCAACAGCGCCCCCTGTGTCTGGACTCACCTTCCTTGGCACCAAAAACAGTTGAACACTGAGTCGACAATGCATCCTTTCTGTTCTGTCTGCCTGTGTATTGTCTATACAAAGCGGCATTGAATGTTTGCCGTGTATGTGTACTGTGATCCGCCCTGAGTCCCCTTCGGGGTGAGAAGGGCAGAATATAAATAAAGTGTTATTATTATATTATTATTGTCATGTCAAAAATTGCAGTGCCTCTTCAAAACAGCCTATACTTTCAGTAGTCACAAAACTAAACCTTTTTGTTTTTCTCCATAAAGTTTGTTGCTTGGTTGTAAAATTTCAAATATATATATAGCTAAACTGTTATTTGCTAACTGGAACCCATAATTATTTATGTTCTAGGAATAAAGGAGATAGGTGCCTGCCCGGGACTTGGACTGTTCTATACCGTCTTGTCGGCCTTTTTTTTCTCCGTGGCTTCTTTATTCTTGAAGAAAATTGAAAATGTGCACTCGGTGGAAATCAGTGCCATTCGATGTATTTTCCAAATGGCATTTGTTCTTCCTGGTTTAATATACTACAAGTGAGTACTACTTTCTGTCCAGAAATGCTTTTCGGTTTATACAAAATGTGATGAATTAAAAAGTAGACAAATGGTTTTGTTTTTCACTGAACCTCATAAGATTGAAGTGAGTCAAGAAAATACTCTTTGATTTTCTGACTTTTGCAGTAAACTTGACTCCCTTCACAGTGACATTTTAAGCTCGTACAAGGTGCGTGAGATTGTGTGTGTGTGTGTGTGTGTCAGGAGCAACTTGAGAAACTTTAAGTTGCTTCTGGTGTGAGAGAATTGGCCGTCTGCAAGGATGTTGCCCAGGGGACGCCCAGATGATTTGATGTTTTTATCATCCTTGTGGGAGGCTTCTCTCATGTCCCCGCATGAGGAGCTGGAGCTAATGGAGGGAGCTTATCCTGTTGTGATTCGATTGCAAATGTGGTGAGACCGAGAGCAGGGCCCCTCTAGAAGATCTTGACAACCTTGATGGTTCATAGGGGAGAACAGGTTCGGACAGGTAAACGAGTATTTTGTTATATTGCTTAATATACAACTAGTTCCCCTATATCAGGTGTGAAAACTATGCAGTCCTGCACATGTTAAACTAGAACTCCTAGCATCCCTAACTTGGATAAGTTTTGATGAGGAATGCAGTGAGCTGCAATCCAACAAAGTCTCTAGGACTACACAGTTCAATCAATCAACCCGTCAAACTTTATATCTCACCCCATCTCCCCATGGGGACTCAGGATGTCTAACAACATAAAAGGCAAACATTCGATGCCAGAAAAATAAACAATAAATTAGGCAATACAGGTAGATAGTATAAAACAATCATAAAAACAATCACAATAAAAGCCCAATAAAACACATTTCACAACATCACCACTGACCTATATATGATGTTATCCTCTGAAGTTTTCAGAGGTAAGCCACGCTGAGAACAGTGGAAGTGACTTATAAGCATGTATAGGATTAAAACTTTCTACTGTATTTTTTGAACATGTTACCTACGACCTCATCACATTCATCCCCCGATTTGATATGGGCAGGGCCATAGCCAGAGGGTTTTTTTTTTAAAGTTCAACCCTGCCCTGAAATGTGTCAGGTTAAAAAAGAAACCTGGTTTACTCATAACTTAGTTAACCAGTTAAAATTATTGAGTAAACCATGTTTCGTGGGGGGGGGGGGTTGGAACCCTTTCGGCGGGGGGGGGGAAGAACCCTAAACCCTTGCCCTCTGGCTATGGCCCTGGATACAGATCATGGCAGATCCARCGAGGGGAACCCATCACCCTGCGCCCCGCATTRTCSACCTTACCACTCACGCTTCCCCCCATCCCATGGGGGGAAGCRTCACCACCCAGCTTCCCCTTGTTGTTTCTTATGCAACATGGAAAGCCTCCCATATTGTAGAGACCAAAATCCACTGATTATGGTAATGCGAATGTAACTAAATTAACTCAATGTATGCTATCAACAAAATCCAAAGCTGCCACATTCACATTAAGCAGAAACAATTGGTTCTTCTCTTGAAGTATGAAACAAAATTTTCATGTAAGAATAGTCCTTGAATGTCAATAAATGTCCTGTTCTTTATTGCATACGAGTAGACTCCAGTAATCACAATAGGTGTCCTATTTCCTTCGTTACACACAAGTCGACTCCAACCTGCAACCGGTTTCAACTCACAAGAGCCTTCATCAGGCGATTAGGTCTACAAATAACACATATCATTGATACACACATATAGTTGAACAAATCATGACAAGAAATTTGTAAGTATATATACAGGCACTCTACTCACTCATTTAACAACAAAGGCTCATTGATCAAAAAAGGCTCAACTTTTGAGGTAAGTGATTCACCAACAATGTTCTTGAGAAGTGGATCCTAAGGGGACATACATAGTGGCTAGAGGTAGTATTGCGTTGTGACATGAATTATAAGCCATTCATAACAGAAATGTAATATCTATGAAATAAAAATAAAATATAATACCAGTGCCTCAACTGAAGTCCAAGTGTCCTAGGATGGGCAGTTTTGCCCATCTGATGAAGTTCTTGTTATTGATCATTTGAAACAGAAGTTTAAGAAAGTGAATAATAAATGGTACAGTGTGACCCCAATTTCCTTGAGATAGGTCCATCCAGTGTTATTAATCTACATTTATTCTCTTTGGACATTTTCTAGGCCCTCCAGGTGATTCTGTGGTTTGCTTCTTCCCAAAGTTGAGTATAGAATCACACTGGAAGAGCTAGTGATGCCTAGAAAAGTATCCTCTCTAGCCTTTCCTCTCTAGCCTTAACCCAAGAAAATCTTCTCAAAAGTCAGGGGTCGTCTTATACGCGGGACCGTCTTATACACGGGAGTTGTCTTATACGCTGGAGTTGTCTTATACACTGGAGTAGCCTTATGCATGGGAGTCGTCTTATATGCGGGAGTAGTCTTATATACCAGGAGTTGTCTTATAGAGCGGGTGCTGAAACTTCCAATCTGGATTGGAGAATCTGTGGTTGCTGCATATTGTGGGGGGAGCTCAAAAATGGCAGTGGCCGCATCCCTGCCGTATGCAGTGATTGTATGAAAGCATTAAGGGCGATGCTGTACAAGTATGGTAGAAGAAAATCCATTCATCAGGATTTGTGGACTTAATGCAGTCCCGATGGTGAGGTGAAGGCGAGCCTCACCGGGAAGGTATAAGTGAAGGGCGGAGGCTGCGGGCGTCCGGGGTATGGAAAAAAGAGATAGAGTGGCTCTGTGCCCATAAAAACTCAACTCTTTTACCTTCTGGCCAGCCCTTGTATCCTATTACCGTACCTCCTCCTCTGCCTCTCAGATCTCGCTCCTGAAGACTGCAGTGAAGTGGTGCAGGTACGCAGGTGCGAGATCTGAGAGGCAGAGAAGGAGGTACAGTAATAGGAAAATTACCATAATGAAATAAAATCTGATGATTATAAAATTTTTATTTGGTGTGTGTTGGAAGAGGGGTAGTCCTATACAGCGAGTATATCCCAAACTCTATATTTTAACTGGAAAAGTTGGGGGTCGTCTTATACGCCCGGTCATCTTATATGCCAGAATATACGGTAGATTTGACATTCAATGATCTGAAGTCCATGATACGAAATTGATCATATTGATTAATATTCAGGGCATGAGATAAATGTGTCATCTGCCTCTCTGTTTCTTTAATTTCAGAACAGGATTTTTGGGACCAAGAAACAAACGCATCTTCCTTTTCTTCCGAGGACTGCTTGGCTCCAGTGCAATGATTCTTGTTTATTATGCTTTCCAAGTGATGCCTCTTGCTGACGCCACAGTCATTACTTTCAGCAGTCCAGTTTTTACATCATTGTTTGCTTGGATATTTCTCAAGGAGAAATATAGTCTTTGGGATCTTCTGTTCACCCTTTTTACTATCACTGGAGTGATATTGATTGCGAGACCACCTTTTCTGTTTGGAGGCAAAGTTTTGGGAATCGAAGGAACTTACACAGACCACCTCAAAGGGACAATAGCAGCAATTACAAGCGCAATAGCTGCGGCTTTAACTTTTGTTATCCTAAGAAAGGTGGGGAAATCAGTGCATTACTTTTTGTCTATTTGGTACTATGCAGTCATTGGGTTAATAGTGTGTGTAATAACCCTTTTTGTAATGGATGCCTGGACTTTACCCAACTGTGGTATAGATAGATGGCTTCTGATATTAATTGGACTTCTGGGTCTCGGTGGTCAAATATTTCTAACCAAAGCATTACAAATCGAGAACGCAGGTCCTGTGGCTATAATGAAAACAATGGATGTGGTGTTTGCTTTTATTCTTCAAATCCTTTTTCTCGATCATTTACCAACCTGGTGGACTGTAGGAGGCGCCCTTTGTGTTGTCGCTAGCAGTTCCGGCACAGTCATTCGGAAGTGGTACCAGAAGTCCAAAAAAAGTACTGTAAATGAAATTTAAGAAGCTTGAACCTGTTTCATATCTAAAAACACAACAAAAGATCTTAAATATTTATTTTAAATAATGCACTTACTGTCCCATGTTTCTTCACAATCACATTTACTTATCAGAGCAGGAGTAGATACCATAACTCACTGCTTTGTATATGTGCCTTACTCCAAGAAGCATTTGACAAACTTTTCTGTAACAAGAACAATGTCTTCTAAGAGGGAATGATTGAATATGGTGTGGAGATCTACTGCTTAGTGTAAAAGTGCAAAACAAAATCTATTCTGCATCCTTGCATTTTTGAGTGCATCTAAAGTAGTAATTTGGGTCCTAGCCATAATTTCTGATGCCGTGCATCTCTATTGTGTGTGTCTCTCTAGTGCTAGTTCCTCAAAACCAGTTTAACGTTGATGGGAAATGTATAGAAGAAAGAAGGGTCAAAATTAACTTACTGGTCTTCTTTCTCTACCTCAATTTTAACTTGAAAAGCTAGCTAAAATAATAATAATAATAATAAATAAATAAAAATTTATTTATACCCCGCCCTATCTCCCTGAAGGGACTCAGAAGTAAAAGCTTAACTTCTGCTCTTTTCTGTACAATTTGTAAGCACCTGGGATTCTCACAGCTTATTTGCAAAGAGAAGCCCAAATAATAATAAATAATAATAAACTTTATTTATTACACCGCCACCATCTCCCCAATGGGGACTCGGAGCGGCTTACATGAGGCCAAGCCCGGACAACAAATTACAACAAAATAAAAGACAAAGAAACAACAAGAAATACTCAGTTCTTGTGGGTTTTTTCGGGCTATATGGCCATGTTCTAGAGGCATTTCTCCTGACGTTTCGCCTGCATCTATGGCAAGCATCCTCAGAGGTGAGGTCTGCTGGAGCTGGGAAAAAAGGGGTTTATATATCTATGGAATGACCAGGGTGAGACAAAGGGCTTTTGTAAGTTGGGCTAGGTGTGAATCTTTCAACTGACCACCTTGATTAGCTGACTGTACCTGGAAGACCTCACTACCTCTGGGGATGCTTGCCATAGATGCAGGCGAAACGTCAGGAGAGAATGCCTCTAGAACATGGCCATATAGCCCGGAAAAAACCAACAACAACCCAGTGATTCCGACCATGAAAGCCTTCGACAATATGGAAAAATCTTTATTCTTTACTCTAAAAATACACAGGCACAGTAATAATGGGTGGGCTACATGTAGTTGATTAAAAGGACAAACTGATTAAAACTAATTAAAACTAATACCATTTCACGTAGGAAATAGAAACATTAGTGAAGTGTTCTGTACTATTTTCCACTTACGTACAATCTATGAAGTGTCTGTCATATTGATAATGATATTAGCATTGATCCAAAGACTTGTTGGACCGAACTGTGCCTGGTTCATATTTTAATGCAATCACATTTTAATACGACCAAGCTTGTACCAGTACAAACTAAATATAAACGGAGTATATTTAGTTTGTACTCTTACAAGCAATGAGACAGGATCATTTAGGGCGGTTCCACACAGCGGAAAAGTCTGCGCTGACCGGGTTTTAAAAACTTGGGTCGGGGAGTATTGTAGTCTGCACACCATCCACAAAAGTCCGCAGAGGATGTCCACATGTGCTCCCAGATCCTTCCCAGACACTCAGACCCCCTCCCCAACCATCCCAAAAAATTCCTTTAAAAAGGAACTAGCTTACAGGGCCAGCATTTCCCTGCTGCCAACCCTCTCCTGGTGTTTAGGAATGGCGTGCCAAGTTTGGGGGGGGGGGGGCAGAAGCAATTTTCCTCCTTCCTCCCCCTTCTCCTAGTGCATCATTCCTAAGTGCCAGGGGAAGGCCAGCAGCAGGGAAATGCCAGCCACATAAGTTTTTTAAAACACCTTTGGGGAGGTTGGGGGGGGGATGTTAGAGCCCTCTCGCCTTTTACAGGCCGATTTAGACCAGAAAAATGCAATAGGGCTATCTGGACTGCCCCCTCAGAAGTCCGGGACGGTCCAGACAGCGGTCATAGTGGGTTTGCCCGGTGTCTTCTAAGAAGATACAGAACAGACCCACTAACAAATAATCTCGCCACAAAGCAAGGTTTTCCTGCTTTGTGGTAAAAGCATTCGGGTTTTTGTGGAGCGTCGTTTGGATAACCATGAATACCCCGGGAGGGTGCGCATTTTGCACCCTGTCTGGATGCGCCCTCAGATTAACCATTGTTCTAAAACCACATTGTGATACAGGTACAAACACTTTAAAAATATAAAATAGAATTGTACTGTGTGCTATATAAAGTTATTCACTTTAAAACCATCTACTTTAACCATTTTTGTCAAAACTTTTGATACAAATACATCAGATACAAAGCTTTCTTTCTCTACAAATTACGGGAAGGGGATTCAAGGGTTTTTCTCTCCCATTGAGCCTTGACAGAAAAGTCTTTATTTAAAACTATGTATTGGTTTTGATAGTTGTTTTTCTATATTTTGTACTTGTAGTGATGAAATATTTATACCTCTTTTTTAAAGATGTTGTTCCTGAATAGACAGAGCAAAAGCCACATTGGCTACTAATTTTTATTTGCTACAGTTCTAGCAAAGGACATTGTGGGTGAAATCCCACAATATCCATCTGTCAACAGAACACACTAGGGCTGGATCTACACTGCCATATAAAATCCAGATTATCTGTCTTGAACTGGATTATATCGCAGTGTAGACTCATATAATCCAGTTCAAAGCAGAGAATGTGGATTACCTGCTTTGATTATCTAGGTTATATGGCAGTGTGGAACCAGTCTGACTGTGCAAAATGTTCTTATTTTGCTATGCAATTAAAGCAGCAATTTCTTTATCAGTTATGCTAGAGTTTTAGATTTTAGGTTAAATCCAATGGTATGAACCAGGAGCTGAAACTTTCCAAAGACAAGAAACAAGTTTTTACTCTGAGAGTACAGCAATATTGTTCTGCTTATCAATTTAAATCCAAGTGTTTGCTCAGAATTGCTTGAGCATTGTGGGGGAGGGGGTTGCCAACCTGCCATGATAATATAGAGAAATAAGTATGTTGTTTATAGCAACAACAAAACCTAATGGAGATTCCATTACAAACCATACCTTCGAAGTGTTTTGCTATAGAATTTCTATTAAAACAAATGGATAACCATTAGGCTACTCAATTTCACTAAGGTCCTTTCTATATTGCCATATAACCTATATTATCAGAGCAGGGAATCCACATTATCTGCTTTGAACTGGATTATATGAGTCTACACTGGCATATAATCCAGTTCAAAGC